GCCATCACCTCCACTGGCCTTGTTGTTAGCCATGCTTTCTAAGGCCCGCTTGAGTTCAGGATGTCTGGCTCAAGGTCAGCAACCACACTATCTGTGTTGTCCAGGACATCCAGATCTTTCTGGTATAATTCCTCTGTGTATTCTTGCCACCTCTTCTTGACATCTTGTGCTTATGTTAGATCCCTCCCATTTTTGTCCTTTATTATGTCCATCTTTGCATGAAATGTTCCTTTAATATCTCCAATGTTCTTGAACAGATCTCAGGTTTTTCCCTTTCTATTATTTTCATCTATTTCTTTGCACTGTTCATTTAAGAAGGCCGTCTTTTCTCTCTTTGCTATTTGGAACTCTGCTTTCAATTTTCTGTAACTTTCCCTATCTCCCTTGCATTTTGTTTCCCTTCTCTTCTCTGCTATTTCTAAGGCCTTGTCGGACAGCCACTTTGCTTTCTTGCATTTCCTTTTCTTTGGGATGGTTTTTGTTGCTGCCTCCTGTACAATGTTATGAGCCTCCATCCATAGTGCTTCAGGCACTTTGTCCACCCAATCTAGTTCCTTAAAATCTGTTATTCACTTCCACTGTATATTCATAAGGGATTTGGTTTAGATTATACCTGACTAGCTCAGTGGTTTTTCCTACTCTCTTCAGTTTAAGCTTGAATCTTGCTATAAGAAGCTGATGATCAGAGCCACAATCAGCTCCAGGTCTTGTTTTTGCTGACTGTATTAGAGCTTCTCCATCTTTGGCTGCAGAGAAAATAATCGATCTGATTTCGGCAATGCCCATCTGGTGATGTCCATGTGTAGAGTCGCCTCTTGTGTTTTTGGAAAAGAGTGCTTGTGATGACCAGCTTGTTCTCTTGACAAAACTCTATTAACTTTTGCCCTGCTTTGTTTTGAATTCCAAGGCCAAACTTACCTGTTGTTCCTTTTATCTTTTGATTCTCTACTTCAGCATTCCAGTCCTCTAGAATGAGAAGAACATCTTTCTTTGGTGTCAGTACTAGATTTCGTATGGAAATCATTCTATCATTTTTGAGATTATATCCCAGTACAGCTTGACTATGAGGTCTACTCCATTTTTTCTATGGATTTTTCTCCACAGTAGTAGATATGATAATCGTCTGAATTGAATTCGCCCATTCCAGTCCATTTTAGTATCCTGACGCCAGGATGACGATGTTTATTCTTGCCATCTCCTGTTTGACCACATCCAGATTACCAAGGTTCATAGATCTTACATTCCAAGTTCCTATGCAGTATTTTTCTTTGCAGTGTCGGACTTTCTTTTCACTTTCAGGTGCATCTGCAGCTAAGGGTCCTTTCGGCTTTGGCCCAACTACTTCATTAGCTCTGGAGCTACTTGTACTTGTCCTCTGCTCTTCCTCAGTAGTATGTTGGACGCCTTCCAACCTGAGGGGCTCATATTCTAAAAGATATCTTTTAGCCTTTTGTTTCTGTTCATGGGGTTTTCTTGGCAAAGATACTGGAGTGGCATTGCTAATTTCTGCTCCAGGTGGATTGTGTTTAGTCAGAACTCTCCACTATGACCTGTCCATCTTGAGTGTCCCTGCACGGCATAGCCCATAGCTTCTCTGAATTACTCAAGCCCCTTCTCCACGACAAGGTAGCAATCCATGAAGGGGGAAAAGACCATTACTAATTAGATTATAAAGTAGTTCAAGTTTGCTGAAATAATGGTTTGTGGTTATTTCAAATAGATGCTGGAATCCACATGCTATCCTACTGGTTTGGGAGGTTTATATACATTGTTCTGCATCAATTTGTTCTTACAGAGTTTATGCAGTGTCATTTGACTTGTATGTGTAAGATCAAACTAATTACTTCAGTAAATGGATCCTAATCTAATTCAGTACATGTGGGAATTAACACCTCAATGTTCCTCATCTTGATAATTTTTTCCATCACTCCTGCCTTACAATACTGTTCTCTCCCAATCTCTTCTGTTTAAAATACTTCTTGCTAAGTGTGTTTACTTAGATAGGTAGATAGACAGACAGACAGACAGACACAGACACACAATTTTTGCTGGCTTTGTGGTATCGTTTTTTAAATTTCTGTGCTCTTAATTCTGGACAAAGAAACATCTCACAATATTATTTTGGATTTTCTTTTTACAGTGACCAACCTCTTAAATATGTGTTGTTCAAGTGTATTAACTGGTGGAGGAACTAATCTAGAATATGGTTTGCATTCTCTCTTTGAAGCTAAAGGCAATGTTATGGTAAGAAAAGTTTGTTTCTATATATTAATGTGTTCAAATCAACAACAAATCTCACGAGAAGACTTAAAGTTTTTGTGAACCACTCTACTCTACCCAAAGGTCTCTGGGCGGCTAATTGCATGAATGTAATTTCACACTACATGTCCAGCAGTGTTGGGCATTCATCCCTTTCCTCCTTTGTTAAACCCTTTGTTGCTTCTAGTATTTTTGAAGATGGTTTATTATTTATTATTTGCATTTATATCCCAAATTTCCTTTGAGCTCAAGGCAACATACAAGGACTTCCTCTCTACCCAAAGGTCTCTGGGCGGCTAATTGCATGAATGTAATTTCACACTACATGTCCAGCAGTGTTGGGCATTCATCCCTTTCCTCCTTTGTTAAACCCTTTGTTGCTTCTAGTATTTTTGAAGATGGTTTATTATTTATTATTTGCATTTATATCCCAAATTTCCTTTGAGCTCAAGGCAACATACAAGGACTTCCTCTGAGATGAGTCAGGCTGAGAGACAATGACTGGCACAAAGTTACAATAGATATTGTGGCTAAGTGAGAAAGAGAACCTGGATTTCCCCAGCCTCTGTTTATCACTGTACCACATTATTTCTCAAGTTCTTCTTCTAGATCTTCTTTTCTTTTGGGGAGGTGTGTGTGTGTGGGGGGGGGTATCAAAACTGTAAACACTCTCAAGAAAGTGTATTTAAGATTGTAGTCTGAAAACACACAACTCTCTCTCTCCTTTACTGCCTCTGCAGTGGATGCTGCCCAGACACTTGACCGTTGTCTGGTTGCAGTACTGGAAAAGAGCAGAGCTAACAGCCTCAAACTGAGCCCAGGCAAAACAGAGATTCTGCACCCATGGGGAGACCTCTGACAAATTAGGGGGAATGGTCCCTATGCTGGATTGATTGTACTTCCCTCCAGTTTAGGGACCAAGTGCGTAATTTGGGTGTTCTTCTGGATCCAGCTCTTTCTTGGGAGTCCCAGATTGCAGCTGTGTCCAGATCTGCCTTTAACCAGCTTAGGCTAATTGCCCAACTTCGCCTCTACCTAGACAAGGACTCCCTCAGGACTTTGGTGCAGGCCCTGGTCATCTCCCATATCAACTACTGCAGTGCTGTCTACATGGGACTCCCCTCGAACCTAATCTGGAGGCTTCAGCAGGTCCAGAATGTGGCAGCCACACTGGTGGGTGGGTGCAAGTAAATTTCACCACATCACTCTGGTTCTGGCCCGCCTCCACTGGTTGCCTGTGGTGTCTTTAGATAAATGTTCCTATTATGAAAACTACATATAATAAGTAAGACTAGATGGTATAATAATTCTGCATGGTTTGCTTTGTCCTTCTTTATCATGTAGGCTGCATTGGAGATGCTTCTTCTGTTGAAACCAACAAGAGCAAAATCACATCCTCTGGCAAATTATCATTATGCTGGTAAGTTTCAAGCAGGTTGGCAAAGATTATGTTCTGACTCTGCATGTGAACTGTAATCACTAGCAGGTTCATTCAAGTTGAGCCTTGAGAAGAGGGAATCAGTCAGTTGATGTAATAGTAAAAGCACTGATGGTTTGTTCTTGTCGATTTACTACAGGTTCTGATCGGTGGACGCCGGCAGAAAAGAAACTGTTCAACAAAGCCCTGTCCACATATGGCAAAGATTTCATTTTGGTGCAGAAAATGGTAAGATGGGATTTGCTGTTCTTTCAATCAGATATTTTGCTCTGAGGGTTCAACAATTGCTGCTAACTCAGCACTTGAACTAAATCAGGAATGCATGGTTTAAAGCAGAATTTCACACATTCTGGGATACCCCAAGCATTTAGTTTTAACTTTTACTTGGTCTTTTGTATTGGTCGCAGACTACTTGCTTGGGTCGACAGAAAGTCTTGGCTGAAAAAACTCTGTCACTCTCTCTCTCTCTCTCTCTCAACCCTCCCCCCCCCACACACACAGCATAACCTAATCTCTCTCTCTCTCTCTCTCTCTCAACCCTTCCCCCCCACACACACACAGCATAACCTAACTGATAGGTATGGTTGTTGTAAATAAATGATTGCCAGTTATACCCATCAATGCTTCATGGAATACTGGCAGAATACAAATGACAGAGTTTGTGTGTCTTTATGTGTGTGTGCCTGGGCACTGTAAGTATGAAAGGATACTTCAGCAATATTCAGTGCTCAGCTCACTCAACCTATTGAGTTGCAACAAAATGCACCATATTAACCAAGGTATCAGATTTATTTTTGGGCAGATGGATATTATTAGTTTAAGGACACAAGACATTATATATTGCAGCATTATTTTTAATTATAGGTAAAGTCTAAAACTGTGGCACAGTGTGTGGAATACTACTATACTTGGAAGAAAATCATGCATTTAGGACGAAAACACAGAACACGCCTGGCAGAAGTAAAAGACGAACATCTAGTAAGCTTCTGACTCCTCTCTTTCTCCTCCTCTTTATTGTTGTCAAAGTATTATTTCATAAATGAAATTCCATTTTTCAGATATTTGTTTATTTTTAACATTTCTGAATGTTCTGTTACAAAACAGGAAACACAAAATTAAAATTTTGCACGTGCGAACATTGCTTTTTCCCTTCAGTGATGCAACTTTTGAGTACTCAAGGCTCTACCATAAAAGTATTTCTGTATGTCTACATACACAGAAACTTGCATATATTTTTTGCTCTTGATATGTTTGGTATCTCCATTGGTCAGTGCCAAGGCATTCACTTAACATGGAAGAAGCCCCAGGTTTAATTCCTGGCATCTCCACTGTTAAGGGATGCATAACGGGGTGGTCTGAGGGATACCTGTCCTGGGAACCACTGTCAATCTAGGTAGAATAAAAGAAGCTAGATGTACAAAGAGTCTAACTTGGTACAAGGCAGTTGTTTCTGATTTTTCTCATGCAATTCATCTGTTATCAATTTCCGCGCTGGGATGCAAGTATAAGAATAAAGGGAAACCTGAACAATTTTGAGAGCAACAGGAAGGGGCTGAAAGCATCCTCCCCACATTGAGTATAAATATATAGCTTTCTTTTCTGGAGCAAGTTCTGAAAAACAAATTCTGTTAAGGAGCAAAATTGGAAACTCATTCCCTGTCAGATAAAAGGAAGCATGGACGGGGAGAGAGGGAACAGCACTTTTAGATAAAGGTAGGAATATTGATCTGAAGCCAGTAACATTCTGAGTGTAAGATTTGGGAGTCTGCCTCTCATCTCCAAGGCAGATAAATGGATCAGAGCTGAAGGACGTTTATGGTGGTCTCATAGCTAAAACCCATTTTACCAGCCTCACTCTGGAAGCAACATCCAACTTCTATCAATCTCCCATGACTTACTTTCTGGTGAAAAAAACTCAGAACTTTTTAATTGGTTGTTTCACTTTCTATGAAAATGCTTTTGCCTTTCAGACTAGTGGAGAAGAGGATGAGTTGGAGGAAGAAGAGCTAGCAGTAGAAGACAGAAAATCAGTCAAAGAAGAGGAAACGGAAAACCCACATTCCCCAGACCCTCCTCCGGTTGCTGCACCCATTAACCTGCCTTCCTTGCAGAGCATCATGCTTCCTGTCACTTTTTCCTGTGAAATGCCAGATTGTGGGGCAGTACGTTTATTTGATAATTGTTTGATAATGATTTAAGTCCTTAAAGAAAGAAGCGTGTGGGTGTGTGGACACAGCAGGGCTATATAGATTTTGTGGCTTCATGATACTAATACAGATACTAATCCTGCATTGCTGAAACTTCACAGCCTACAGTTTTTCAGGAAGTGTGTCCCAATCCATAAGGAATTCAAAGACGCAGTGCTTTGTGAAATCTCAGAAACTGTGATCGATTTGGTTAGGTTGCACGGAGAGGCTTGACTAAGATTTTCATTGAAACTCCCCCTTTCCCTTCTGTGGACATTGAGTTATTTTCACGGACAGTGGAGAAAAGTAGCTTGTATGCTGACACGGTAAAAATAAAAGTGTTAAAGCAATCAATAGATAAGCAGTTCAACAATATAAATTAATGATTAATAACGAGGAATTTTTTATAGAACTATTGTTCCCAGAAATTTGAGGATTTGTTTATTTAGAGATGTATTATTTATTATCCTCTGCTTCCCCATTATAACTTTCAGAGCAGAGTCCTGAGGAGAAACAATGACTGCTTAAGCCAATTTAAGTTTGTAAATAGTAATTAGGTGCTGTCAAGTCAATTCCAATTTGCAGCAATCCTTTCCAGGGTTTTATAATTATATCGTCCTCAGAGGTAGTTTACCATTCCCTTCATCTAGGGGTACCCTGGGATGGTGCAGCTTGCCCTAGGCTACCCAGGTTGACTCTCTTCCCAGGAGACACAGAGGGAGCTTGAATTCCCAGCATGTGGCTTCTCAGCCAGATACCTAACTTACTCAGCTATCCTGCCAATTAACAAGACACCATCAAGTACATTCTGACTTAGAGCAACCTTTTTAGAGGTTTTTTGATATAGAGTATTCAGAAGTGGTTTACTAGCCTTCTCTTCTAAGGAAATCAATAAGTTGATCCTTTGTTATCATCTCCTTATTCCTCCAGATGTTCAGCTCCAGACAAGCCCTGAATGGCCATGTTCGGATTCATAGTGGTGCCAACGCTGTGGTAAAAGCCCGCTCAGGAATGAAGCAAAAACTGAATTCCCAGAATGACTACTCTTCTGTCAAAACCTCCCCAGCTCATAGTACCACAAGTGGTGAGACTGACCCGCCTACCGTTTTCCCCTGTAAAGAATGTGGAAAGTGAGTAAATCTATATCTATGGTATATGCAGAAATGTGCTATTTCTTACTAAAAACTTCAGGGGAAGATAGTTTTTCCACTAAGATAAGAAGGGTGTTGCTCATTGGTAACTCCACTGCATAATCAGCAGCAAAATTTATAAAGTGGCATCCATTTTCTAGATGGCACACAAGTGATATGAGCCACACTAAATCCTCATCTTGTTCTGAGGGACTGAGGAAGCTTGGAACATTCCCTACTCGGCAATTGTCCAGGAGATATTGACTATTGTGATAGGGAATTCTGGGAGTTGTAGTCCAAAAGAATTGCAGTCCAACATTTTTCCAAGTTTCCCAACAATATCAGGGCAGGTTTCTTTTCAAACAGGAAGTTAGGCCTATCTAAGACATTAAGACTGCCAGATGGGCCTTCTCTCCAGGTGAACACAGGTGTCTATAAGGTCTGGATCCTTCAAGTGGGACTCCCAGGAAGGGTAATAAAAATAAAAAATGAACATTCCTAGTTTCAACTTCCTAATGAAATAATAAAAAAGGCCAAGGATTAACAACAGTATATTTCTCACAGGTCTCCTTTTAATGAGAATTACACAGAGATAATTGTCTGATTCTATTGTAGCATGTGTGAAAAAAGGTGTGGCACCTCTAAGACTAACAAGCCCAAATCCTATTGTATAACATAATTACTGAGTCTTTTCCCCACCCCACCAGTGATGTTATCACTCTTGTACAGGTGTAACTTGTGCAACCGCCTACAGATTTAACTGTGAGCTTTAATTGATTACAATCTAATTCCTCAGACATGTACAGTATTTGGATCACATGTTTAGATATATGCAGTGTGCATGGTTGTGGGGGTGAAGACGGTGAAACAGAATGCAAACATGGATAATGTACCATCAAAATGTTGATTCAAAAATATTCTGCCAACAGACAGAGTAATCAGCTAACGTTAATTGTCTGTCAGCTAGTGGACAATGGTTAAGCTGTCTTAAAAAATTGTTGCAAGACTTTTGCTTTCAGGAAAGAGTTGGTTGTCCTTGTGCCAGGATTTTGCCAAAAATTCTTTGCCTATACACAAGACTTCAGAGAAGAGTACTTTCTTTATATAGTCCTTTGAGTTTAAAATATACTGACACTGAGTTTCGTATTGCATTTCTAATGTCAGGTTTTATGCATTTGTTCTCTTGCTTGGAGAGTGTTCTTTCCTCCTTTATTTTAAATGTACAGGAACACTGCAGGCAGAAGGTGGCACACATCACATTGGAAGAGAAATAAGTAGATGAGCCCCTGATGTGTGGGTGACAACGTTGGGACCCATAATGGTGCTGACAGAGTAGATTTGGAGATAGAGCTCTTTGATGAGTGTCTGAAAACAGGAATGTTTGATACATCTTATAATGAGTGTCTGAAAATATACAGTGGTGCCCCGCTTAACAATTACCCCGCTCCACGACAAAATTGCTTCACGATGAGGTTTTTGCGATTGTTATTGCGATCGCAAAACGATGATTGAATGGGGAAAATCCATTTTATGACCCTGCTTTGGTATCTGATTCTTCACATTATGATGATCAAGAACAGCTGATTGTCGGGTTTCAAAATGGCCGCCTGCTGTTTTGCGGACCTATTTCCGGAGCGACCGAAAATGGCTTCCCCTATGGAGGATCTTCGCTGGACGATGAGGTATTTCACCCATTGGAACGCATTGAACCGGTTTTCAATGCATTTCAATGGGTTTTTTTCTTTTGCTTGACGACGATATCACTTAACAGTGGTTTAACGGAACGGATTATCGTCGTCAAGCGTGGCACCACTGTATAGAACATCTGGTGTGTATTCAGCTGACATTCACAGGATATCTATTTGGACATTGAATACTCCCAAGATCTAAGAAAGTTGTTCCTGAAGGCTATTGTCCTCTCTCTTTACACACCCCTTGACTGTTTCCTTCTTTTCTTATTAGGATGTTTTTCAAAATCAAAAGTCGTAATGCACACATGAAAACACACCGGCAGCAGGAAGAGCAACAAAGGCAGAAAGCCCAAAAAGCTGCCGTTGCAGCTGAAATGGCAGCCACGATTGCAAGGACTACAGGGCCAACAGGGCATGGTTTGATTCCTTTGGATCATCTGGACTTGATCAAGCAAGTTGAGCAGGCAGATGATCTCAGCAATGATGTTGTTCAGGAACTGGGAGAGGTCATAGACAGTACTGATGTCATAGACCCTGGCCTCTTATTGGGTGAAGAAGACACAGAATTACTTCAGGATGATGCTGAGTTGTAGAAGAGAGGTGCCTGTTGCGTACAGTTATAGATGGATCACGGTTGGAATTGGTTTCCTCTGCTAGGACGACTGATATCTCTTTCCCTTTTATTTTTGAATATTGTTTGAGTAGCAGGAACGCTTTCCGGCCAGGACCAGAAAAAACAGAAAACAAAAAACTGAGTTTGTTACTATTTTTTTTATTAATAGTAATTGAACTTGGCTTCAAAATGTGGAAACAGTTCATTTATTTTCCCTTTAGTCTAATACCTTGGAAAGTATTACTTTCTGAAAAGTTCACGTTGTCATTCTAATTCCTTTTAGATGTTCTCATCTAAAACTCCTCAGGGTTTTCTTCCGTCCCCAACGCTACGTAACTGAAAGTTGTTCATATTTTTCTTACAATGTGTTTAATTGTATGCCTTTTCATTCTTGCTCCTGAACATGTGCAACAACAAGAATACTTTAAAAAAAAGTAGACTCTGTCTAGAGGGGCGGGGTATAATCGAATAATAAACAAACAAACAAACAGGCAAGTTAATTAGTAGACAACAGCTGCTACGATAAACAAGCTGAATAATGGAAAAGACGGGTGACCCCAGGGAGGATTGTCCTGGGGGAAAAAAGTCCAGGCAACTGAGGCCAATTCTTTTCCAATGTACCAAAGGTTCTGTGCCAGGATGAACAGTTTTGAGGCACCTTTATATTTTCACTGTTAGAATACAGTGTGATGCCATATGTAAACTCAAATTAGAGTTGTACGTCCTGCTGTGCTTCATTTGGATCTGAAATACACTTGAGCAACCATGAAACAACTAGATTAACCCTCGAAGAATAAATATACTTTTTTTACTTTTATAAGACAACCTTTTTTTTCTTTGTAAGGGGTTCCATATGATGCACTTGAGAGCTTTCAAGGGAAAGGGGTCAGTGCAATCAAAGTATTTTGAATGTGAGACTAGAAAAAAAAAGATAACTATTTTTACATCTCTGTAACAGAGTGGCTGAGATGAGTCTCCACCCCTTTGTGTTGGAACAATCTTAAGAGTGTATAGACATTTCTTATTACAATGCACAAAAATCTTCTGATTTGTAAATATACATCACCTTGTGAAAAAACGTAGTGGGCTTTATTTTAATTGTGTAGTTTCACTTTCAGGAGGGGGTATACATTAAGATTTTTTTTTCACAGAAAGAAAGCAGGAGGGAGAGATGTCCATTCTAGGTAGAACTATAATACATGCATACATTCTCACACATGATTCTTCCAAGTTCTGGGGAAATAATTTTAAGCCATGTTCTTCAGTTTGTCTCTGATTATAAATGTTATTTCATGTGATTTCGGTGTTCCAGTGGCCCAGTATAGTCTGCATGTGTGTGAAGACTGATGCGCACATCCAGAAGGTGATGCTCCTCTGTTCACGTACGTGCATTGAGGAGCAGAAACTAAGTTAGTTCCAATATGTGTGGAACGCTGTTGGGAGCCCAAAGACCTTTAAATGCTGACATTTGTACAAGTGTTGTTTAGTGGTCAGTTATCTTAGTATAAATATACTTTTAATGCTGAATTCGTTAAACCCACAGAGATTCTTTAACGGGCCCGTCGGTTTGCTTCCAAAAACTATAAACCTCAGTAAACCTAGAGAATTGTAGAGAGCCACAGTAGGATGTATTTTAAGCCATTTTTTGTAAAAGGACAGTAAATGCTTGTCAGATTTTAATAACAATGAGATAGCAAAACATTTCCATTTTGTTTTCCCTTCTAACCATCTGTGAGGCTGAAAAATAAAAGCTATATCTTATTCAGGTGAAATGATGGTAGTCTTGATTATCAGCTTCCATGAGCAGGGGGATAAACCCAGACCATGGAAGTGTAACATTTGGAGCTATGGCTACTAAAAATTCTCAGACAGCACTGAGCTATAGTTCAATAAAATAACACCTCTTATGTTCTGCTGGAAACATGATTAACAACAATTGTTTCTGCTTACCTTAAATAAACAGGGATTCAGACATTCTCCTTCTTTCCCTTTGTGTGTTTGAGCATGATCCCATAAATCAGCATGATCCACTTTGCAATAGCTCTGACAGGCAACCTGCAGCTCTTTCCTTTCCAGAGGTAGGTGCTCTCAAAGCAACGTTCTGTGTATCCCAGTGCTTCAGAAACAAAGAAATTGTGTGAAAATTATGTAAATCTATAAAGTCCCTTAATCCTTTGTTCGCACAATTGTTAATACTTTTCTAAGATCCAAATAATAGTCCTAGGGAAGTTGATCGTTTTTGTGAAATAAAGACATTTCTATTAAGTCAACTGTATGTGGTCACAGTCTGAAGTTGCTACTCAGGAGCAAATGTTGCACCATCCATGGCTGACAGTGGTGAGATGTGATCTTTAACTGCTGCAAAACCAGATGAAGATTAACCCCTCAAGATCTTAAGGCCAAGATAGGCAACTGAAATTGTCTCCACATGGAACACCTTAAATTTCTTTGTGATGGTAGTGGCAAAGAATACATTTTGCTCCAGAGCATTCCCAGTCATAATCAAGACTTTTCAGTGGTGATTTTGTTGTTGTTGTTGAAAATACAGTATGTGAAAGCTGTGGTCCATTGTCAGTTTTTCATGCAACTGAATCTCCAAGGGTGTTGTCAGCCTGGCCATTACTTTATCTGAAGATAATCTGAATTGGGCTTGTCAGAACATGACTGAAGGGTATGCTCACCGTCCCAAAAATAACCACATAGTGACTGGTGGGAATACTGAAGACTTCATTCATCCCATTAGTTCTCAAATTGGAAGGACCTAGCAGCATCTTTTGCCATCATGATACAACTCCAAAAGATAACTGCCAACTGTTGATGGGTAGGGTTTTTTGCCTGATCAATTGATCTCTTATATGCCTCAGCTGACAGGAAAGGCAGAGACTTAAGAAGGGAAGCTTTTAACTTGCAATTGCTGTAGTGATGGGAATGTTTTGATTTCCGGACTACAGCTCCTAGAATTTCTCAGCCGGCATTGTCACTTAACCCTGCTGAAATAGTTGTCACTTGACCCTGCTGAAATAGTTGGAATCTATTAGAATTCTCAATCGTTTACACCAGTTATTCCCAATCTTGGGTAACCTAGGTGTTCTTGGACTGCAACTCCCAGAAACCCTGGCCAGCCCAGCTAGCTAGGATGAAGGCTCCTGGGAGTTACCATCTAAGAACACCTGGGTTATCCAAGGTTGAGAACTACAGTTTAGCCTATGCCTGCTTTTCACTGAAGAGTGCAATTTGTAATAATCTTCTAATATCAGATGCGTGGAAGAAAATTAGCACAAAAGAAAAAAAATCAAAAACAAAGTCAACCTTTCAGATTTTTTTCTAGAAAATGTAGGAAATAGTCATCTGCTTGTTAGAGAAATGTTACTTGCTTGACAGCAAAGGACAGGAACTGAAATCTTAGCAGCTTTAATGTATAGCAAATCTGAAATTAATCTGCTAAATAATTTTCTAGTCTATGGTGCAACTTAGTCCTTCTGTACAGTTTATGATCAGTCTGAACAAAGATGTTTTTAAACTCCCCACATAAATTCTGAGTTAGCACCTGAGACATCACCCAAAACAACAGTACACAGAAGATCCACACAGCTGAGATCCATCTGAGCATATCTTTGAAACTAACTGGACATACTAAGGCAATCAAGTATTTCTCACAATTGAAAGACTTCTATTAGACCTCATGTATGCCATTCTCTGACACCCCAAAAAATAGAAAGTAGGGAGGACCAGTGCCTAATTCTTGCCGCAGATTGTGCCAGAATGATTTGTAGTTTTTATTTGAGTACACAGTGAGAAAGATCTGCAGCTGCACAAGCAGGCCTTCCACAAATCACTTGGTAATCTAAGACAGCATGAAAGTTTAGGACAGTGTTCCCCACGCTGGTCCCGTCCAGATGTTGGAAAGCCACTCCTGTCATCCTTCATCATTGGCTGTACACTTACCCCTTGAATCGCATGGTTCTGAACAGCACGGTTTCGGCTATACATGTTTGTTTT